TCACAGGTAAAGGTACTGGATGAATCTTCTATCTGACAGGTACCATTGTGACATGGATTAGGATCACATGTAGGAATCTGACATGTATCACCTCTATAGCCAGGAGGACATGTACATGTAAATGTATCGGGTGAGTCTGAATTACATGTTCCATTATTAAAACATGGATTAGGATCACAGGGATCATTAATTGTAATGTTACATATATTTCCGGTGAAATCAGGTGGACAAATACATGTAAATGTATTTGCTAAGTCTTGTTCACAGTCACCATTATTAAAGCATGGATTAGGATCACACGGATCGACTGAAGTGTTACATGTATTGCCGGTGAAATCAGGGGGACAGGTGCATGTAAATGTATCAAGCAAGATATGATCACAGGTCCCTCCATTCTGACATGGACCAGGTAGACAAGATGCATTCTCAGGTACTTCAATCAGTTCTATTTGACAATAATCACCAAAGAAACCATCAGGACAACTACAGGTGTAACTAAAATCAGACTCAAGACAACTCCCTCCATTAAGGCAAGGGTCTGGATCACAGACATCGTCACAACCACTCTGTGACGAGTTCTGACAGAAACAAAGATGAGATGAGCCATCAGGAATACAAGTGGCATTAACTGGACAAGGACTACTGAAGCAAGCATCAATGGTATTGCAATGGAGGCCAGTAAAGCCACCAGGACACTGACAGATGTAGGAATGAGATCCTTTTGAAATGCAGGTACCTCCGTTATCACAGGGGCTCAATAAACACGGGCCAGTGTCTCTATCATCAGGACCAATGCAATATGGAGGAACAGTATTTGCTGGGCATAGACAAGAAGCATAGCCAGGCCCATTGATGCAAACGCCAGAGTTGAGACAAGTGTGAGATAGACAGTAGTCAATCTCAGAGCACGTTGGACCAGTAAAACCTTCAGGACAAGAACAATGATAGCTGGATGAGCCGACAGTAGTACAGGTAGCATTGTTACTGCAGGGTGAAGGAGAGCAAGGATCTGTATTGAAAGAAATAAGAGTGAGGTATGCAGTTTTGAAAGCATAGGTAGTGACTCACCATTAGTGACACTGTTTTCAATGGTGAATAGAACACAGAAGCTGATTCCAGACTGGCAGCTCACAGTTGCATTGATAAGACTATTAGTAACTGCATCCCAACTAGTAACATCATTAATATTCCTTCCTTGCAATCTATTAATGAGTATAATAATAATATTAACTTAACTTTTCTAACACTAACCTGTTTTGTGTTGCATATATGATGTCTCCTGCTGATTGAACACCATCACATCTACTGTATGTAACAGAGGAACTATCAGTATTACAACCTAAAACATCTGGATGAATAGAAAAAAAAGAATGAGTGAAACAATGCTCTTTGAATTAAATTATACTTAACAATTTAAAGCAATTATCATACAGAGATAATGTACATGTAAATATTTGTACAATTCCTTATTCAGTAAAGGTTACCTTGTCTGTTGAACTGAAGTGACATGTTGGTTAATGGTGAGTCATTACTTATGGGTCTAGCAAAAGTTGGTATACCTATAACAAGATTCAATAAAAGATCAAAGCATAAAAATTACACAAGTGATGTTTGTACATGTCCCACATGGTTCCTGTTTCAAATGACTCATTGTGTACTTACCTAGATTATAATAGCCTTCAAAATTACCCGCGCAGTCATTGCATATCTCTATATATAGAAAAAGTGTGAAAGAACTAATAATATATCATTTTAATTTAGCATTTTGTAAAGCAGAAACAATATTTTCATAACAATTAACCGAAAAAAATTTAGTTTACCAGAGTATGGGCTGTTATTGTTATGTCCAAATATTTTGAACAATAGACAACCTCCTTCACCAGCAGAACAAGAGAAAGTAAGTCTGACCAGTTGACCTGTTAGTCCAGCAGTAGGGATTCCTGAACCAACCTGGAAAAATAAATAAACTTATACTTCAATGTGCGTTAGACACCTTTTACGTATGCAATACATTTTTACAATTATATAGACCTAGATCTAGTCATTTTTGTTTGACGTACTTTAATTTTTGCATCAGAAGTTAATTCAAAGGTGTTTGTATTTATACCAGTCCAGCCATTAAATGTGTTAATTTGGGCATTGGATATTGAGCACTGACTGTTGAGAGCAGTTCTATTAGCTGACAGTATTACTGTTAGTGAGTGATCCATTACAGTGACTAGATATGATGAGTCAGATACATAGAGAGTAGGAACGGTCACTGAGGAGTCATTGAAAATGTATGGACAAGCTACAAAAATAAGAAAAAAATTAATATTATTAATGAGCTATAAATCTTTCTTTAAAAAAGGATGGAAGCAAGTAAATAAAAAGCATTAAAAATGGAAAAGTAGTAGGATTGAATTGGGGGAAAAGTAAAAAAACAAGAGGGTACTATTTAGCATTTTAAAAATACTTAATTATAAGGTGGCTAAATTGTGTATTAAATATGATTAAACCAACCTTGATTCAAGTTGACACAGCTCTCAGTCTGAGCCTGATAGACCCTATCCAAGGGACAAGCACAAGAGGAACACTCTTCCTCTCCCACGCAGTAGCCGCCCACGGCAGAACAGACCCCCTCAAACAATCCGAACCCCACCAATCGATCACCACTGGGTAAACGCTGGACAGTTGGTATGGGCGTGGCGGTACAAATACCGCCGATACCACATTCAGGCTGGGAAGGTATTGAACAAAAGCGACCGATGTAAGATGAGTCTTGACACTGACAGAATGAGTGACCAGAGGAATCGAGTTGACAGACACCACCATTTTGACAAGGATTGGGGTCACAAGGATCTAAAATATAACAAGGTATTATCAATCGTTATCATCATTATTATCTTTACTATTTCCTTTATTGTCATCATTATTATTATTATTATCATTACTATTTCCTTGATTGTCATCATTATTATTGTTACTTACTAAAGCATGTATAGCCATTTTGTCCTAACACAAGTCCATGTGGGCAAGAGCAGACTGGGATCGAACTCAGAGATACAGTACAGAAATGAGAGCATCCACCATTACTGTGGCCACAACTGACAGCTAAGAGAGAATGATGAGGGCATTGTTTATTATTATTTTTGTATTATTATTATACCTCTGTTTGCTGAGGATACTTCAAAGTTGACGCAGAAAGCAGGAGTGATGCTTGGAGCTGAACACTGGAGCTGCACTGTAACAGTCCTTCCATTGAACAAAGCCCAAGCAACATCATCAACATCAATACCAATCAGTCTATAAATAGATGCACATTTTAAAATAGTATTGTTACACTCTCGATTCTAAAAATAGTAACACATCATAAATATGCACTTACTGAGAGCCTGCGACTGAGAGAATGCTGCTAGATACATTAGAATACTGACAACTGTTATCTAGGTATTCCACTGACAGTACGCTACAGTCACTTACAACTAGAATGAAAAGATATAAATTATATAATAATAGTTACAACATGCATACCTCTGCCTAGATACAGTAGAGGATTATCGAGAGGATTTAGGCTTGATCCAGCTCTGTCTGGTCTTAGAAAGAACGGGATTGAAGTAGCTATACAGTAACAAAATGAAATACTCTAAATATTACGTATATACATCACATACCAATGTTAGCAAAGTCCCCTGTACATGTTCTTGCTTGCCCTATACAAGACTGAGTCCCTATATGTACAGTATACACATTATAATAATAATATAAATACTACACGGTCTCCTTTTATTGCAATAATTGTGTACATTATAATGATGTAACTGCTTACTTGCACATGTTTTTTGGTCAGTTAGTAGCACGTAGCCTGTTGGACAGGAACACTGGGCTACTCCTACACCATTCACTACGCAGTAATGTGAGCAATGCAGGCTATTCAATAGGCAGATGTGATAGCCTTAAAATGGAGAGGGAGGGAGAGTACAAAGAGAAAGTAGGAAAGGAAAATGTAATGGAGTATGTAATATAATAGCAGCTACATGTAATTATTTGTAAAATGGTCATAACTCGAAAAGTTGTAGTCGGAATCAGCTCAAACTTTCTATACAGCATAAGGATGTCAATATGTATCAGAAAATGTAATAAAAATTTGCGGTGATTTCGGAGCCATTTTTTGGAAAAAACCATGGACTATAGCCTGGGGTACTTTTCAGAATTTTGGAGTTTTCTTAAAATGGCCGTAACTTGAAAAATTGAAGTCGGAATCAGCTCAAACTTTCTACACAGCATAAAGACGTCAATATGTATCAGAAAATGTAATAAAAATTTGGGGTGATTTTGGAGCAATTTTTTGGAAAAAACCATGGGCATCAACAAATGCATGTCTAATGAACCAAATATGCATAAATTATGAATCAATGAGTTATATATACTACAACCCCATAGCTTACCACTATTAGGTCTCTTATTCTGATCAATGGTAGTAATGCCATATACCACTGGTTGAGGATTAAAACCACCAACCAGATCCAGTGAATTAACTTGTTCACGTCTGAACAATGACACAGAACTAAACAAAGAGCTACCCTCAGTACTCCAATATAGCCTATCCCCATTAATGACAAGTTGAAATGGAGCAGTCTCTGTTGAAGTATTCAGCAATACAGTGATATCATTGCCATTTAGATTGCTCATTGAAAGGCAGCTAGAGGCTTGGTCACCCCAAATTAATCGACTGTTAATGTAGTCAATCGTGATACCAGTTGGTCGAGAAGAGGAGGAAAGAGAGACAGAGAAGTCTTCTTGTGTTGAGTTGTTTAGTGAGCCTCTTTTAATGGATGGAGTAGAACCACCCTCTGTCCAATATAAGTGACTGTAAGAAAGAGACAGAGAGAGAAGGAAAATTATAAATAAAAGAGAGAGAGTGAATATAAAAGAGAAATGATCAAATGAATTGCTATTCTCTTACTTTGAGAAAGGATTGACTACAATTCCTCTTGGTGTGTCCAACCCAGTATAAACTGTCTCTGGCTCAAATGAGCTATCATTGATAGAGACTCTCCTAATCTCGCCACTCCTAATGTTAGTACAATACATAATTGATAGAAATAATAGCATAATTACTGCACTCACTGGTCTTCAGTCCAGTATAGGTAGCCATTTATCCAGTCATAAGTCATACCCCATGCTGATACATCAGTTAGTATCCTTTCTCTTGATTGCGACTGCTCATTCCCATTCAATTGTGTTGACCACAGCTCCGAGGAATTTCTGTCACAAAAATACAAGACGCTAGCCTCCACGTTGACATCAAGAGCATATACGATTCCAGTTTGATAGCCGGTATTCTCAAATGAATAAAAAAGAGGCACTAGAATATTGGAGGGAACTCCAGTTAAACTAGTTTCATAAACAGAACCAATTGAAGACCCCAAACTCAACTGAGTGATTGACAATATGAGGCTTGTATCTATAACAAAGAAAAAATCATTAACAGCTAGACCATACTATAGTACATGCACTCTTGGGCCATTTTTTATCAAAAAATGGCTAGGAGAGAATTTTCTATTTTTATAATTTTTCTGATACACATATGTTATAAATCTAGTTTGAACCAATTCTAATCAAAACTTAAATTTGAAAAGTTGCTCAAAATCTGGCCAGAGACCACACATACACTATACATGTATCCCTATATTTATGATGTATTATATTATACCATACCTAAACTAGGGAAGCAGCTCCTTCCATCAGTGCCCAGCGTGAAGCCAGGTCTACAAGCACAGTGGAATGAATCAGCACCAGTAACACACAACTGACTGCATGTACCATTAGAACAACCTGTAAAGAAAGAGAGAGAGAGAGGGGGGGAGGTTAAGATGACTATAATACTTATTCTATAATCCTCACCAATGCAGTTTCTTCTATCAGAAGCTAGGAAGAATCCACTAGGACAGCTACAATGGAAGCTGCCATTAGTATTGTGGCAACCATGACTACACAGACTGGACACAAAACACTCGTTAATGTCTAAAAGCAATGACTTATTATTGATCATCTCCCTATGCATATATTTCTCTTACCCTGACAGCTAACCCCATCACTGCTAAGAGTATAGCCAGGATTACATGTGCACTGTGGGTCAGAGCCAGTTGCATTAGTACAGCTCTGAGTGCATTGGAGCACACTAACATCACACACATCTATAGAAAAAAATTAAATTGAATTATTTTTAAATTTTTTTATCCCATACCTGCATTGTGGCACGTTCTCTCATCTTCGTCTAGCGAGTAACCATAGATACACGTGCAGTAATACGAACCAATAGTATTGACACACCCTTGACCGCACCCACCATTATTAATAAGGCACTCGTCAATATCTAATAAAACAATAAAAAAATAAAAATATAAAAGTATTTTTAAAAATTTCCATGCACTCACCAGACGAGTCGGTGGTTTGTAAAAGGGAATGGTTAACATGTATAGGACCAATGGAATTTGAATCAGTATACACTAGAACTATAGGTCCTGCAATTAAATAAGACAAAATTAATTATAAATTAGAACATTAGAACCTCCTACACTTTGATGCCATGCATAAAACTTACTGTCATTAGTAGTTAGTTTATTGATTCTTATTATGCTGGAGTTGGCCGAGTTCGTAAGATAAATGAAGTCCTCAAAAACAGCAATGCCATTAAACACAACATCCTCACTAACATGTACAACCCCTTGATTAGACCCATCAAAAGAGGAACGGCAAACATGGCCATTGTCACTGATCCAATATAACTTGAGATCGACTACATCGATTGCCATGGCGACCGGGTTGACGACCTCAGTTGCTATGGTTACAACGTTAGACCCATTCAAATTAGCTCTCTTGATGGTCGAGTTTGAGACTGAGCTACCTTCAGCCCAAAATATATACCTGAAGATAAATAAAAGAATTGATGACATATGCTTGTTATTATCTAAGAATTCCAAGGGATTGATGTTGTATGTCATCTATTGATGTCGTGTTAACATAACAACAGGAGAAGAGCAGGAGAATATGACACGGGTTGTCCATAAAGAGTTCAGAGAAAGGGCATTTTATCCATAGGAGGTTAATCTAGTATAAACTAAGCTCTTCACTAGTAACACACACAGTGAACAAACAAAGCCAAGAAAACCAGCAACAGAGAAATACTTAAATACAAACAGATATGAGCAAAAACAAGTGTCTCTAGTTTATACCATTGAAAAGTATAAAAGTAAAATTTGAAGTAGTTTGCCTCCATCATAGCATAGTTACAGTTGTTGCTTTCATCCTTCCTCCCTATCTCACTGTATCTATTAATTAACTTTATGCTGTTATCCATTTTGTGGGCTATTGTTATGATTATTTTTTAACTGGAGCAACATCATCCTCACCATTATTGGGCAAATTAAAAATAGCACACACACACACACACAAAATTTTTATAAAGTTAGAATGACACAGGATCACTACTAGACAGTTTATTCATAACAAATGAAAAAATAACAAATTCCAGACAGTCACTGCCTGTCCTAAAATGGCATCCTGAGCTTATATAATGTCCTATATATAGAGGTGCCCTTATTTTAAAGGTAAATGGCCAAAGTAGAAATTTACACAGCCATTAAAGTATACTCTACTAGCAGCCTGCAAATTTGGAGTAATCAAGTATCTTTAATTACTATAATGTGATGTATCCCACTCTGAGAATCATGCCTTCTAGCAATCCCTACACACACACACCTCTCTACCTTATACAGCTCTAATCAGGAGGTGTGATGCATACAGAATGATGTCCGTACCAACAACAAAAGGAAATAAAATGAATGGCAGTATCCTTGTTAACGTGGAAAAGGCAACCAGCATGATTAGGATTGCGTAAAGAGTTAAAGACACATTTTAAAAAGGCTTAAACATGAGGTGTATGGTAGTATATGAGGTGATAGATTAGGCAAAATGTGTGGATTAGTGGGCTTCCCTAAAGGGATGGCACTGATGCCTATTGTCCATAATGAATACTATACACTCTCTCGATAAGGAATGATATTGTTTTGTGATCATGGATTGTTATGGGCAAAAAATGTAGCGTAGTGAGTAAGATAAAGAGTGAGATTGTAATATTGCTTAATACATTAAAAAAAAATTTTTTTAACCTTCTAAACAAGCACAAAGTTGTACAAAGCTGCAGAGATTAAGCATTATATCTATGCAGAGCAGCTAGGAAGAGTAGTATTTAATGTAAAAGGACTTTTTATTGCTTTTTTGTATAACTCAGTTGTGTGGCTGCAGTTTTTATACCAATATCCAATAATCAAAGACATATTATAATCAATTAAACACTCCTCACTCCTCACCTGTATGGCTCCTCTGGAAACACCACAACTGCCCTTGGATGGGGTAGGGACTGAAGGACTGGAGTCACGTGACCTGAGCTCACGTGATACAACCCGATCCATCCCATGATTGAGTCGGTGAAGTAAAGGTTGCCTGATACCCAGTCAAAAGCTAGACCTTCAACCCTGCCAATGCTTGAACTGATCACCAGCGTCTCTCTAGTTTCAAAACTCACTGAAGATATCAGCGAACGTGTCTCATTGATGTAATAGATAACCTATAAAAAAGGAAATGCATTATTTATACAATTTAGCACGAATCTTAATTACATTTTTGTTTATTTAGTATGTTTGCATGTACTTTCCCTCTGTTGGTAAATATTTCCTGTTTCAATTATTTGCTTTAGGCGATAAAGTGAAAATAAGGTTAGGGTACAGGCCCAGGATTTGCTAATGAGGCCTATGAACCTGCTAAATGCTTACAAGTCCTCTTTAGGGCTTAGCACTAATGCAACACTAGACTGCTTAAAGAAGTACGGGATATTAGAAGCCTGGTATATTATATGATAGCTAGGACTTTAACATTTAAGATGATGTAAATAAAAGGCAAAAGTTCAATGATTTCATGTACTTGTGCATGCAAAACATAGCTCTGGCTTCAGTAATGCTATAAGTGAACAGACTCAATTATCCAATCAATAAATGCTAATCCGGTTAGCCATGCATGCAGTACGTGTAGCACATCCTTTCTTTAATTTAGGTACATGCAGAAAGTATAGCTGTCTGACCTGACTGGAGTAGCCATATACAAATAAGTCAATGGAATTCTCTGAGTCAACAGGCAGGCTATAAATGGACTTGCTTTGATGAGTCAATGCATCGTAGCTCATAATGGAATCTCCTTCTGCGTAGAGCAGGAGAGGATAAGGAGCTACAAAGAGAATAATTGAATAAAAATAAATTACGATTTATTGTTTATTTATTGTACCGTTAGCTCTGCATGAGAGTCCATCTGATTGGAGCGTGTAGTGCTCAAGGCAGGAACAAATGTATCCTCTTTGACTGCTGTTTGAGACGGCACAGAGTTGACTGCATTTACCAAAAGCTTGAGATTCGCATGCTGTCTCTAAATAAATCAATGAAAACTCAATACATACAATCATGCCAGAAGTAAAGGATATAGCAGCTTGATATTAGAAATGCCAAAACAGCGATGAGGCAGAGTAATTAGGCTTTGCATAGAATGTATTAATTTATACCACAGTAGTGATATTTCCTATTATGTACATTCCTTACCTCCAGCTACTACTGTGATATGTGCCTCTGCTACTGAAGACTCACCAACGATGACTAAAACATAATTATCAGCAGGGAGGGCGACAGCAGTAGTGATTACATAAGTTGTGGAATTGAGATGAAATTTATCTCTATCCTTTCCAATAATGTGAACAGTAAAACCACTGCCTGGAGTTTCGGTAAATCCAAGCGTTAAAACATATTGGCCTGGACTTGATGCTTCGTCCTCAGTGAGAGTCACTCTGTACACTGATGGGTCCAAGTCTTGACCTATAAATAGTACACGAGGCTTAATATAGCAACAATCTGACACAATCTGTTTTCATTGCTCATGAAAATGCACTCGGTGCTGTTATTCTAAGAGTAATAGTACATCCCTTTTTGAGAGAAAGGTTGAAGGGGAAAAGTAAAATACCATGTAGGGCTTTGGAGAGCTGAATGGTGGAATGATTTCAGGTACTGCAGGCGTGATTTTATTGAATTTTAAAGCTTATATAGTTAGGCTCATCATTAAACACAGCAATAATTAGTTAAGAGAAGCTAATCATACAAACACAGACCATAGATACTTCATTAAGTACAGAACTACAGTGACTCACCTCTGCCGCAGTCTATCTTACAGGAGACAGTGAGCAGCAACAGTAATAATGCGACAAAACTGATCTTCATTTTCCTTCTCTCTATCACTAATGGCTTCAGCTTAGCTGGTTTGATAAAATTGTTATTCTTGCTTTCGCCAGTAAGATAACTGTATAAACGTAGTGTCGGTCACCACTCCTTTTTATACAAATCAAGAATCAACGAATCGGGTTAACATTGATTCCGTGATCAACACCTCTCAGATCGCCCCCGCCCTGCAGGCCTGTCACCGAGGGAACCAGTAAACAAACTGCAGATTGAGAGAGGCAAAGGCCGGGAGAATGAGCGGGACAACTCATGTCAGACAGCAAAGAGAGATGGAGGAGTATCTAAAGAGAATAAAACTAAAAGAAATATTCCAGGCAAGCCTCTCTATCATCAAACAATGTAGAATTACAAATACACTGTGTTCTTTTACATGGACGATGCATTTATGATTGACTAAAGGGTTTACTGAGACAAGTGGTTGTTGAGCAGCCAAAGGATCCTTTTGGATACTTTTACGAAGAAGTGAACAAGATCAAACAGGAAATGGAGGACAACAATGTGAGTAGCAAGTACAACTTTTAGTCTGGTAACCTCAATTCATTAATATGTGGCAGCCAATTCTGGCATACCCGTGACAAAGAGTCATCAGGGCATGTACTAATTAGCTAGTTCATTTCATCATTAGTCTCTATGTACAAACAACATCAAAGGATTGGAAGAATGTTAACACAATACAATACAATGTCAGCTTTGCTTTAATCCCCATGTATACATAAATTGACAAGAAAACACTTTTGATGTTGTTGTTTAATCATCAGACTGTGTGGGTGAGTGCCTCTTTGTGCATCAATATTGATGGTAGGGATTGCTGTTTTGTTAGGGTGTGCCATGATTGTGTTTACCAATGGACATGTATACATGACAAATTAATTAATTAATATTATTATTATTATTTTTAGATTGACATTGGATCAACCACTTTTCTCACGACTCAGTATCAGGAGTTGAGCAATAGCAAGGAGTGACGTTGTTGACATAATTACTGTTGTTACATAGTTTTTGTTCACAAGACAATTTTAATTTTAGCAAAAAAAAATCCTAATAATAATAATAATAATAATGTTTAAAAAAACTGATAAAATCTGCCCTGCAGAGACACACACAACTAACACAAAATAAAATAAAAAGAAAAAAAACAGTTATTTTTGCTGAAAGGGCTTAGACTTTCTTGGCAAAGCTTCTCTTGATGTTAGTGAAACCAGATGAGACTTTCTCTTTGGTCGAATGCCACTTGTCTCGCCTAACACGGAAGAATACTACAGTAGCAACGATGATAATGACGACAATTAAAACAACGAAGATGGCAGTTGCTATTGTCACAAATGTAGCAACTTGTGCAGTAGAAGCAGTATAGACACCATCTTGATCGATCTGAGCTTCTACCATGCCATCGACTGATCTAGTTTCCAGCCTTCTGTACACATTTCCATTGTTTGGGTCAGAATAGTATATGCTGGTGTCTCTGTCAAAGTCTTCACCGCTGACCATTAGCTGCAAGGTTGCCGTCTGTCCTTGGTCGGTGCTCAAACCAGAAACCTGTACGTAGTCACTGACCAGTTTACCAGGGGCTGTTTTGTCGCTGGTCATGGCTTGGGCTTCGGATTCATTTGCAAATGTTCTGATTGAGATGACACTTGGTTTGCTCATGGTACCTCTATCAACTTTGAGATTGCCACTGTGGAAGAAAAAAGGAAGAAGTATAAAATTATTATTATTATTATTATAAAAATCAAAATTATACTCAGGGGTACAGGCTTGGCTGGCTTTAATAGTACATGTACATGAACATGGCTTTGGTAGAACATTTAAAATTTGTAAAAAAATTAATTTTGATCTGAATCAGCTAAAGAATCAACATAAGTACATGTACATATAATAAAAATTATAAAAATCAAAAATTCTCTCCTAGCCATTTTTGATGAAATACACTGTATAGGGTCTTCGGTTGCAACTTTAAAATAATAAAAAGTTAAACACTATGCCAGTCTCTTATGGGAAAACCTGACTATGCTATCAATATATTATATAATTAGACACTCACGAGCTGGTTGATATTGTGCCTCCATTCCAGCCGATACGTTTGCTGATCAAAGCATTGATATAAGCAATGATCTTTCCTTTCTGACTCCGGTTGGTAAAGTTGTTATTTCTTGTTGAGAGATAGTAGTAAGTGCCTTTGGATGTGACTCTAGCAAGTCCAAGGTCATAATAAGTTCCGGCATCATCCAGTTCAGACATTTCACCACCATAATGACCTACATGTAGATAAAAAAATAACAAATAAATGAAAATACAAACAAAGAAGCATAAATGAAATACTGTACTTATTATCATTATAAACGCACTTGGGCTGAGCATTGCAAGGTTTTCTCTTTGGCTCCTGCTAAGTCCAAGGAAAGTCTCATCATTGTCGAGATGTTGAGGATAGCTTCTTCCAAAGTGACCGTTCTTCTCTGCAGTAGGTACAGCAGCCCCTGGAGTGCCCTCGGCGTAAGTATGGTTACGAAGGAGAACAATGTTAGAGCGATCAGTGCCAGCTCTCCCTTGACCATCATTGTTGTTAGGATTTGTATTGGAGCCGGTCCATCTATAATGAGAAAGAGAGAGGGAGGGAGGGAGGAAAGAAATAAAGTTAGTTATATCAACTATTTTTCTTGTCTCTTACTGTATGTGGACACAGGAGCCGATAGATACTTGGAGATCGTTTGGCACAAAGTCGTACTCTACTCCAGGATAGGTCTGGACAATGTTTCCTCTCTTTCCGCGTACGTTGAGATTATAAATTGTAGTACAGTCCGAGTCTGAGGGCTTGGAACGAATGGCAAATGTGTGAGATCTATAAAAGTCAAAATAAAAATAATTATGTGACTCAAATTTGCATGAATAAAAAATTGCCACAAAAATATCAAATATGCATATATATATATGCATACATGTATTGTGGTGTTAAGCTACTGGGAAAAAAGCATCAAAATTCGGCATTCCTTAAAAATGCATATCCAGTATAGCTATTCAAAAGAGCTGCATCAGTTGACTATCATTATTTATTGCACCACACACAGGATGAAAAGGCTCATGAATACGAGCCCCAGTTGCTGATTCTGCTTCGGTGCAAATTTCAAACTATAAATACATTTTCGGTGGGATGGCTGGCATTACCATATTTGGTGAGGTCATGGAAATCATGTGATAAGGCGATGCTCATTTAATAATACTAAATTTGGTCAAAATGAAATTTCTCTCTTTTCTATAGTTCGATTGAAGCTTCCGCCCTACAAATACTATTTTCTTTTCTTTTCTTTACCTCCCACTTTCATTACTTATAAAGTAAATTACTAAATTTGGTCAAACTCTCGCAGTCTCTCTTACTCTAATTTTTTCCCTCTCTCTCTCTCTCTCTCTCTTTTTCTCCTACCTGTCTTGGAATGTCCTACCAAACTGGTTTGTGTTAATAGCTAGTTGAAGGCCAAAGTTAACTGAGTTAGGGGCTGGGTCTGGGAAAATTTTTACAATAGGATTTTGACGGAAAACGTATCCACGCTAAAGGAAGACACAAAAATTAAACTAATAACATAATAATAATTATTAATAACTTCTTACAGCTCTAGCTTCAGTGGTATTGAAACCAAACTGAGTGTATACGTCCAATTCGGAAATAGTCCTTCCGGCGAGATCATTTGTATTGTCGTTAAAGACAGGTACGTTGTTACGACGAGCAATTGAAGAATTTACGGATGAGTTCCAGCCATCATACTCACCAGTTGAAATATTGTATCTATAAATGAAAAGAGATTAAATAAAATAACTACACGTTAAAGAAGAAAAGAGAGGAGAGAGGTACTTACCGTGCTCTCAATACGCAATGCTCGTGGGGAAGGTCTGGGATGGTCCAGTTATAAATGTTGGTATAGCCACCGACACCATTTCCAAGGTGGTTGTCGCGACTCCATAGAGTCTCAACACACTCTGGGGCAGAGAGACGAGAGTCAGCACGGTATTCTCTCCAGACAGCATGCTTTTCCTCCGATGTGGTTGGGTCGGTCCAAGTCCATCGCTTTTATAAAACGGAAAAACAATAAAGTAATTTTAATAGTAACTCTTTATTGACATACCTCACACTCCTCTTGTGTGTTGGGGATGTAGTATCTATTGGCAGAGTTCTGATTGATGTTCAGTAGTATGTATAACTCGGGCATTTCACAGGCAAAACGGGACTTGACGTTAGCGCTCTCTTCCTGATACATGACACAGCGAGTTGGATCGTTGGTAAGTATAGCAATGTCCCTCCATGGGGTGGGGTGCCAGTAAGGATAGTAGTCTCTCTCTTCTGGGCACTCATACCCACGACGGTTTCCGTTCTGGTTCTGGCGTGTAAATCTTGCAGTGTTTCTATTATTAAGGTTCTATGGGAAGGATGCACTAATATTGAGAGGTGATATAAGATTATACTTACCCTGTCAGCACTGAAGAGTCCACGGTTTCTCTTGCGGAGACGACAGTTGACATAGTAGTCAAAACTCTCGTGCATGCCATATCTAAAATGTTAATAAGTAATAACGATAATAATAATAATAAACTTATTATTGACTTACTCTAAATCAGTGTTGCAGTCATAGTCTTCACAGAGAGCTGGGTTATTTGGGATAGTCCTTTAAAGAAAATAATAATGAAATTATGTGTTGCTAAAATTGAAATTACAACTAATTGCTTCCACCTTTTTTGTTTGTGTCACTTTCAAATTTAATTACTAGCTCTTATTACATTAATTTTTAATTAAACAAAGCGATAAGGAAAAATTCACTGGATGTGGTAATAACTGTACATTTTAATTTAATCATAACACCACTTCCATCAATAAGTAAATCTAATTATGACTTTTCTCACTTGGTAGAGGCACCATCCCTAACGTTGTCATCGCACATGTATTGGAATATGATCTCGCAGTGGTTGTTCTGGTCACCACAGCTGTGCTGGTTGGTCCATTCAATGGATAGAACTGATCCTGCATAATAGTAGAGGCTACCAACGTTGTAGCCGCCGCGGTTGTTGTTTTGAGAGTCAAATAGCCTGCAAAACAGCAAAAGGAGGAGCTATGATAAGAGGCGGTAGTATTCAGGAGCTTACCTGTTGGCATTGTTCCTGTCCCTCCTTGCTTCATCTAGTCGGTTGTTGCTCCCTCTGTGATGATGGGTAAAATATTAGCAGATTTGACACTGCGTTTCTCACCTTGGGTTGTGTAGATACATGTCGCAGTGGACAAGGGAGACTAGTGCCAGCACTAGTATAGCAATCTTCATGACTGTTTGTCGAGGAGAACTGTTGTAAAAGAAGTGAAATAAAGCTACCAGCGACAGTAAAAAGATGGAATGCAGAGAAGGCAGAAGTTTTCGGGTTGAAATAGCTGCGCAGCTGAGGGAGAGGGCAACGCCCTAATTTATTCTATTTTTAGTAACAAGACCCACCCAAGGAGCGATCTGATTGGCCAGTTGTAACGAGCCACACCCAAACTTTCCATTTTAGGAGCTGGAACAAGGCAAGTGCTGGTATAGCAAGTGCTGATAAAGGTTGAAGCTCGACCCATTTCCTCGCTACACTTCTCTCTCATTTCTCCTCGAAAGCAACAACAACAGTGACACCTATCATATAGCGGCTGGACCGTTCTACTGAAGTAAAACCAAAGGCAAATTAACAAAAGCAGCAAAGATGATTCTTAAAACGCTGAGCGTTTTGTTGCTCTGCTTCCACCTTTCTTTATCAGACGTTTACATGCACAACCCCCGTGGCTCGAACAACCGACTAGAAGAGAGATCAGCGAACAGGAACAATGCCAACAGGCTCTTTGATTCACAGGTACGCCGTCCTTGCAGCCAATTGTACTTACTGCGCATGCTTTTTCCTTCTAGAATAACAATAGAGGAGGCTACAACGTAGGAAACAATAAAGCCAGTGGAGGGATCAACACTGAAGAGGATATCTACTACATGGTGAGTGTAGATCTAATGCAAGAAATTTCTTCTATTACAAAATATTGCAGTATTTATTAAAGGGTACAATCATGTTTGTTTTTTTTTCAGAAATACTTTCAAAGCGGTCCTAGTGCTTCCTCCAGTTTGACCATTGAGTGGACCAACCAGCACGGCTGTGGAGGGAACGAGGACAGCGACCCACACAAACTTAACTGTAACATTGTCATACAGTACATGGTCTCTGATGTCTGCGAATTTGGTAAGTATTAAACAACGCATGCCACAAAACATAATAATTATTATATAGTTTTAATTACATTATTTTTTATGCTTAATGCAAAAAAATTAAAAAATAGTTTTTTATTATTTTTAGCCAAGAGTACATAATTGTATATACAATTTAGCTTTAGCATCTTATGGTTATTGGGTGTCCTGTCATCTTATTTTTATTCAAATTACTAACTATAGGCTAACAATGCAATTAACTTTAGTGTAGTATAATGTAGATCATTATTTAGCTGCAGTATTAAAATTATCATATTTTTAACTACACTATAGATTCTGAAGATGAAAACTGCATGCGTAATGGCGACAATACCAACACTCAGACCTTCAATGCTGTTGGCTCAGGACAGATAAATGGATTCACTCAATCACAAATGACACAACGAATGAAAAACCAAGTTTCCACAACCAGAGGTCTTCATGAGACGTACGAGTATTACAATGACTGCTACATAAGGAAAAGGAACACTGGTAAGTTAGAATAAAATATAAATGATATCACTTATCTTTTAAAAACAGGTCTCTTCACTGCTGACCAGAACCTCAGAAACAACCAATACGGCAACAGTTCAGCTATATACACTCGTCAAAATGCTAATGGAAACCGTCGTGGGTACGAGTGCCCAGAAGAGAGAGACTACTATCCTTACTGGCACCCCACCCCATGGAGGGACATTGCTATACTAGCTGATAACATGAGCCAGTGTGACTGGTACCAAAGGGAGAGCTTCAATGTTCAGCCAAGAGGAATATGTCGTGAGCTGGATGAAAATAATGCTGTAAAGTCTTGGTCATATTGGAATAACGAGGATGATTGCGAGAGATATGGAGGTATGTCATGAATAGATAAATTCTTAATTATTCATGGAGCGAGAGTGACATTATAGTTATTAGCATAAGGAGTGACTCTGCTCAGTTACTGTGAATTACATTGAACCCGTTATGAAGCAATAGTGATGTAATAGGAATGATGCACTTATGACTAGTTTAGTGTCAGTATGACGAAAGTGTATATTAGCTAATGAATGAAGGATACTTTGCACTAATTCACTCCACAATGATCTCAAAATGTCCTTTTCAATACTAATTACCCTCTCTCCCTCTCCCTTTAGGTCACTGGTTCACAGAGTATGCTTACATTGATATAGAGGAGGTCAATAAAGCTCAATGCCAAGACAGAAATCACACCAATGGCCTCAAGAGAGTTTGGGCTCCAACCACATATGGTGGTACCCCTCAATGTCTCGTCCTTCCTCCCGCCCCTGTTTGTCAACCAGCCAAGTGGTCAAGAGTGAATCACCTTGGTAACAGCCGAGATGGTGTACCCCTCAACTTTACCTGGACCCTTCCTTACTTTCCATCTGGAAATGAGAAATTTGTTGTCGTGCGTCTGAGGTAAGACATAACAACAACTAATACACTATTACTAGTGATGTCAAATGGAGTAATCCACTGATTGCTATACTAAAGTATAAATAATAACAAACAGACATCTTTCTATACTGATACATAGACTATACTTGTACTTGTTCGTTTCAAAAGATGATAAACAGGAAAGGAGCTTAGAATTACCATAAAATATGCTTTTTAGTAACATATGAGCAAGTAGGAGTGAAAAAGAATTGCTATCAATTTTATGCTACAACTAGCAGAGACTATGTGTTTGAGCTAATGCAGTATATAATCCGAATATGGCCAATGGCTCATATAACATCATGTGAATGATTTCGTTCTTATTATTGTGGGTGTATAATCCAGTGAATATAGATCAGGATATTGCCATTAGGCTTCTTTACTGTCAATGTACTCCCACCAACATTCCTTGGCAGCCTGAAGTAACACATGCTACTCTTGCCCAACCAAAAATGGTAGAAAGAATGTTGTCATAAAATACTTCCTCTTGCTGAGAAGAAGTGTAGTGTCGATTCCATATTAAGAGAGCTATAGTAGCCCTTAAAGTGATGGCTCTTATGACGATTACAGCATATCCTGATAGTCTGTTACCAGTCCTAGTTTGGTATTATTGTCTAGTCTAGGGTTAGAGTAACAATTCAATGATCTTCACTTGACCCCTCGACCTGATGTCAAGTACAATTTGTATACACTTAACATAATAGACATAACATTCATCACATAGATACAATATTTATGAGTATTTGGCATCACTGTCTCCACTCTTACCACTCTTCTTTTTCTCTTTCCACCTGTCTAGATACAACATCTCTACTGATGACTATGACCCATTCAACACCAACAGTTCACACAACCAGAACCTGTGAGTCACAGTCTACACACACACACTAAGGGATGGTCTTATTATAAATATACATGTACTACTCATATGATTATACCTTTATAAAAGTACATGTACTTATATGATTATACCTTTATAAATATACATGTACTTATATGATTATACCTTTATAAATATACATGTACTTATATGATTATACCTTTATAATGTACATGTATTTATATGCTTTGTTTTTTTTCTTGTAGTGCTCAGCAGGTTCGCTCACCAGTGACACAGAATCCATACATTAACATTGGAGCCACCAATAACAAGCCACTTCGTTTAGCTATCAATACCGCTCAATTCGGTCGTACCTTCCAAGACAGGAGCCATGTCCTTCGTCTGCTCCCTCGTAGCGAGATCAGTCACCCCGCCGGCTCAACCTGCACTCTACACAACCTCAACGTGAGGGGAAAGAGAGGAAATATCGTTCAGACCTTTCCCGCTGTTGAATACGATTTCATTCCTAACAAACTAACAGTCAGAGAATCAGACTGCATCCACATACAATGGACAGGTAAGGCGCAATCTGATCTTAATATGCTCCAATTGTATCAATTGATTATTATCTGTAGGTTCCAACACTCACAATAATGGTGCTCCTGGCGGAGACGGTCAGACTGGAGATGCAGGAGAAGGGACTGGAGGTAAGTGTGTATGTGTGTGAGAGAGAGAGAGTGTGAGAAGTAGTCACTTAACTCAATGGGTTATTAGTAACACTGCATTACTGCTAGTGTAATGTGAAGTATTGCTACAATGTAGTGTATTGCTTCTTTTTAGTAAATGTAGTTTTGACTGTCTCCTAATATTCACTCATTCAATAACAAACATTGATGACGCATCCCTTTCACTCCATAGGCACCGACAGGCACAACATGGTAGAGATACCACACCCCAACTCAAATTACCCAGTTCCGTGGGAAAACTCCACAATGTGGAGAGGAGTTGAGCTAGTATGGAAGGATGATACCTGGACCAACAGCTCTGCTCTTGATGAGACTGACATTGCAGTAGTCCTTGCTAGTGGTGGATATTATGAGTGTTACACTCAAGGAAAATGTACCAAATCCATGCAGTCCTATACCCCACGTCTTAACCGACTTCTTAATAACATTGTCCCATCTTTCGGTACTGTATTGAGGCTAAAGAGAGGGACCTATCACTACATCTGTTCCCGTAACAACAACTTCACTAACCGTAGCCAGAAGGGAATGATTACTGTGACACCATAAGTTGTCTTCTCTCATCGACTACATGCGAACTAATATTTTTGTCATTTTTTATTTTTTAGTTTTTAAATGTTTTCTGTGCTGATTTTTGACACATTTTAATGCCATTTCTGTTTAGCTATTTATGTTGTTCTTTTGTTTTTTTCATTCCTCTTTCAATCTTATTATTTTCTTTCTGTTAGCTGGACACTACAGAAAGAGAGAGAGAGTGCAATGTCTTGAACAAAGGAACAAAATGCCATGTCTGTTTTGTTGTATTAAATTATAATTATAATGTGTAAAAAAATTGTGTTAACAAAAATAAGTATAAATAAGTGCTATTATATATACAAGTGAGAAGAAGACCGTCTTAAGAAATGGAGCCTAGTGCTACACCAAGTGCTGTAACTGGAGAAAACGGATACTGGAAATCCAAACAGTAATGGCCATGGATTGACTTGCCAAATTGAAAAACCTTTAAAGCACAAGAGATTTGAATCATTATTAAAATATTTTTATACTATTATAGCTCACCACTTCATCATTCAGATCAATTTGAAAGTTCTTGACAGAATCTCGATTGATACGGCCTCCAAAGTCTAACTCAAAAATACCAAATTGTTGATTCCATTCAGGCTTCTTTGATGTGAGAGTAATCTTAGTATCCCCAGTACATAGACCAACAGCGATATCCCTTGGCTCGCATTTTATGTAGTGAGTAACTACATTAAGTGTACCAAGTAGAGTAGGATTTCTATTACTTTCATTCGCCTCATAGGAAGATATAAACTTGTAATGTTTAGAGACTGTGTTACCTTCAATCTCAGCAATGATCAATGAAGCAGAGTTACTGCTATCATTATCAACGCTAGTAGCTGCTTCTTGAGAAGGTTCTGCTATATCATTGCAAGTGTCTGACGTTTGAGCTGTTAACTGATGCCGTCTAAAGCTACCCCTCAAACCTCTTGACCTCCTTTGGGTTTGACTTGGCGATCTTGCTTGACCCCAAAAATCCGGCCTTCTCTCTTTCCTTCTCTCAACTGGGTGCAACTGATATCGTACATTAAAGAACCTTCTAGGTCTCTGCTTGGCTCTCAAAAGAGGAATATAAGAGCCAAACTGTTCGTACTTCAACAGGAAAGACTGAGGCAGCGAGTTTTCACTTTCATTGACGGTTTCATTCTCAGGTACTACAATGCAGTGAAGACGAACTCCTGGAGACAAAGGCCTCAACAAATCTGACAAAGGCAGTTGAGCATTAAGAAGTGGCTGGAAAATATAAAATAAAATAAAATTAGAAAATGCATTAAAACTTACTGCTAGGAGCAAAGGACACATAGAGCTTAGTCTTTTAATCTCTTGTGTGGGGAGTGGTAACTGCTGGAGTGAAAAGAGGCTACTCTTTTTGTGAAGATTTGAGACAACCTTCTCCCTGCAGAGTCTTAAAAGGCTGGGAATAGTCATCATCACATCCACAGAGAATAAGTGTCTGTCGTGAGCTATGAAAAGAACAGAGTCTGAGAGTCCCCAGCATATATCTTGAAGCAGAGGAGCCTACATAAGACATACAGTACATGATGTTTGTCATTTGTTTTTCAACACATACAAGTATGCAAAACTATTTGCATGTTTATTATTTTCATTATCATGTATGCAAAAGTATTAATTGCATGTCTATTATTATTATTATTATTATTATTATTGGCCTTACATCAGTTCCTGGTTGACCTGCAATAAGCTGATCGACTGTTAATAGTATGCTGCCATCTCCATCAACAAATCGAGCAGCAAGGAAAGATGGTGTCATGCACTGTCCAGAGTTCCTTGCATAATACCCAACCACTGCAAGGACGGTCTGCTCCTCATTCCATTTTGCTTTTCCATTGATGATACGAGTGTGAACGCACATGCAACAAGCAGAAGAGACATTTCTAAATATCGCAACCTCTCCATTTGCAAGGTAAAGTGAAAGAGATTGAGTCGATAGCGTCCTGTTACCCTCTGGAGTTGCTATGTTAACTTCTTTGACCGGACCAAAGTAGCAAGCACTAATAACAGCTGTGTCCTCTCTCACTACCATAGTAGCCATGAATCGGCCATGCTGCAGTGGATCTATATCAATCACTTCTCCTTTTTCTGTGCCAAGGGCAATGGAAGTGGTTGGCTTATTCCATGATAAAGAAGTGAACTGTGCATAAGAGCCATATGCAGACGAAGTGACAATCTGAATTGAGAATATATATGCACCATTAAGGCCAGAGAATATTTGCAAGTGTCCATCTTCTGTGCATATTGCAACATAGCAGCCACAGTAGCTCCACTGTATGTCCTTCACTACTGATGTTATTGAGTAGTCGAAATCAAGTGCTAGGACTTTTGCTCTGTTCTTCCAAACTTTGATGTTTCCCCAACTGTCGTATGTGGCAAGACGGTCTCCTTGAGGCCTCCATCTCACTATTCTAACCTAGAAACAATGATGATAACAACAATAATGCTAATATTAAAAGCTGAATATCAAAGTGCTAAGTAGTGAAAATCTACAGCAAAGCAGCTAATTAGATCTGAGCATATAAAGAATCACAGAGGCTAGACTATAGATACAGCATCTATGGCTAGACAAATGCAACATCTATGGTTTAAGTTTCTAAACTATCATAGTATTTAAATGTTGCATCCGGCTTACCCCACCAACATGTCCTTTTAGATTGAAACTTGACTTGAAGAGCTTCCCAGAAGAGCCTCTGCAAGACGTAAATATGCTCTCGTCCTCTTCTGTAGAGATCCAGCTAACCCCCACACTTCCCTCCTCTGCACCAGCAGCTAGCCATCCACCCACTGGGTGCTCTGCATGGCTTTCTTCTTCTTCAGGATTCCTTCCACTATTGCTCCAGCTTAGGCTCCTCAACTTACTCCCCACAGAGGCTTGATAGCGAGTTGAAGATGCCCACATTTCAGCATTAATGATAAGCCCGGATCTTGTTGCTTGTGTTATTGTTTCAAACTAGCGGCAGGCTAGCTACAAGTTGTAAAGAAAGTCATAGTGCATCTTTTCTTCACACGTTGTCCAGGGTGAGCGGGGCGGGGCTCGCAGCATGCGTGGGTGTACTAACTAATTTAAATGAGTGGGCGTAGCTCACAAAAAAAGAAAATACACACATCAAACGTATTAAAAATGAAAAATATAAAATAATATTATATTCATGCAAGGTGATTCCAATTGTTAACTTGAGCCTCCTCCAGTCCTTTTTCTGTGTATCCACCACATAATTTGTACTGTCCATTGCAAGTCAAGACATTTCTTAATCAGTTGTTGAAAGGATTGTTCAGCTTCATGCTCTGTCTTAGTGATCATTAGGGCATGACTGATATACTCTGCATCTTCTACACAAGCAAGCTCTGGTATACCAGTAGATCTCATCTTAGGAGAGAGAAAGAGGGAGGGGGAAGAGAGAGGAGAGATGGAATTAATTATTCAGTTTGGCTACACCATAGATATTATACATTATATATAAAATATTTTCTGTGTATAATATCTATGGCTGCACATGCTGCTTGGTGACTTGTAAAAATGTGCTGTTTGTTACTAGTAAACTTACCAGTGAGAAGAGGTTAAAAATAAGCTCGTTGTGTCTTCTGAGACAGAGGAAAGCACGACAGCACAGGTTCTTATACATGTTAAAAGTATCGCTATTCTAAAAATAAAAAGGAACTTTGTGGGTGCTTCATAAAATCCCACCTACCTCTCCACCCATCACATATACAAAATCAGGGGTGAGGACAAACGGGGCCCATTCTCTCTTGACTCCCTAGGGACACGAGTAAATAAATAAATAAGTGAAAATTAAAATGGTCGTTTTCCCTACCAAAAAGTATTTGATGTTACCAAGGAAGTGTCCAAAGTCGATGTGAAATAGATTCCCCGAAGTGGTGATCATAATATTGTCATTATGTCTGTCGCCAATACCCTACAATAAATTAAGATACTTATGTAATACTAATACATGTAGGGAAATGTATATGTACATACAATGTGATATTCTTACCAGTACGTATGAAGATACAGTATAGCCAGCACAAGAGTGAGCGAATCTCTTCAATGCTTCTTTCAAAAGCTCAGGATCATCTTCACCGAATTCACTGCATAAAAAAAAGAGATAGAAATTAATAATAAAAGCCATCATTCTTATTGCACTATTACTGCCGTATTGCCAAATTAGATTTACAACTTGGCAGCTAAGTAACATTTACTCGTACAACTTTAGGAATTAGGATATCGCACTAATGGTAAATCTAAAACAGACAATGTCACCTTTGTCTCCAACAGAAAATTACTGTACTATAACATTAGCAAAACATTGCGGCTTTTTATTCAGTCTTCATAGGCTATTGGTGCAGTTGTCCTGACTAACTAAAGATATACTATCACAACCAAGAGAGAAATCATGAAGATCCTACTGATAATCTTCAGTCTTGTTACTTACTTGACCTGTGCTCTGAGGTACGTTTTATTATTATTATTATTATTATTATTGTTTTTATTCATTACATTTCCTCTTGTACATGTAGTGATAGCGGCACGCCAATCTCTCTTGAAATGGCTTGCAAAAAAGCTCTTTCTGCAGTTACTTGCTCCTTTAATTTTGCAAACAACGGAAATGAGGATTATTATCTATTTAAGCGTAACACTCCTCTTGAAGGAATCCGTTCTCCATTCCTTACTATCACACGTGAGGGAACTCTCATTTTATATGAAGGAATAATTGTTTATCGTCTCCCTCCAACAAAGGAAAACTTTGTTCTCTTGAAGGCAGGCGAGAGTATTTCTGTAACAGTCCAAATCACTGATGCCTTTAGCATTGATACTGATGGTCTCTATACTGTACAATACAGTAGACCTTTACAGTATCTGTCAGTGAATGAGATGAGTGCAATGTCTGTTAATCAGCTTAGAGAATCATCTGTACGTGAATCAGTTCAGCTTTATTTAGAGGACACCCATCTTCTTTTAAAACCAAAAAAGGAAGAAGTAAAAATAGATTACACCGTCCACCTCCAGGACTGTGGCAGTGCTAGTTTCTCTAATGGCGACAAGAACAACAGCCTCACACTAGATGCTCACAAGAAACTCTGTGATGGGATAGACAAGGCTTTAAGAAGAATTGGCTCTAATGATATCTATGAGAGATGGTTCGGAACTTATACATTTACAAGAGGGTCAACTGTTAGAAGCACATACGATTACATGAAGACCGGATTGGACACCAGGAGTCTGACTTATTATAACAATGGGCCAGACTGCAAGTCTAACGAAGCGGCCTACACTACTCCATCGTATTGGACGACCACTGTATACCTCTGTGGTCCTTACTATGGGCTTGGGACTTATTGCAGTGGGACTGGTGATACAAAGGAGAGGATCCTAGCCCATGAATGGTCCCATGCTCTTGCTAATCGGGCTGATGAGGAATACGGTGTGGACAAGTGTAAGGAGTTGGCGAGGAGCTCTCCAGATAAAGCGATTAACAACGCTGACAGCTACAGCTATCACTATTGCGAGAGCCAGTGAACAGGCAAAGAACTGAGAATCTAATAATTAATAACTACATGTACCGTAATGCTTTAATATTGCTAATTATATAATTCATAAAATAGCTTCTTTATCTTAGCTTAATAACAATAATAACATAAAAGTAACTGATATATAAAACTGTTGTGAGTGGTTGAGAGCATGGGGGCTTTTAATTTTAAAGGAATGAGGGTTGCAAGATTACAAGCATGAGGACTTACTTTTTTTGATGACTCTTAATCCACTCATACAACTTCTTGTTATCATTAATACCAGAAACCTGAGAATAAAAAGAAAAATAAAAAATCAACATTTAAAAATAAAAACAAAAATAGCTGCTGTCATAACAAGCAGCACACTTGGAAATCAATCGGCTAAAATGAATTTGTCTTCTCTCTCTTACATCAGCAATTGTTTTAGCATTTTTTACAACTTCAATAAAGCCAGAGTTGGGACCAGTAGCCATGCAACCGTATGGTATGAGACAGAGATCAGGCAGACCCTCTCTCTCCCACAACTAAAAATAAAAATAAATAAACATAAACCATATTAATAAAAAAGGAAGTAGGGGGGGGTACTTTTTCGAATAGAGAGAGCATCCGTAGGACAATCATATCTTGTCTCAGATCGTCTCCTAGTTTGAGTATGAGTCTTGTTGGTACCGGTCTCAGGGCGGTTGGATCAACATTACACATCTCAAGCCATTGAGGTCGCTATGGTGATAGAGTGAGGCTGTCTGCCCACACACTTAACGACTTACTTTCTTAGATCCCATGATCCTACACTTGGCCGGATTGAGATTGCCTAGGGCGATCCTCGGGTTGTAAACCGGAGTCAGTACTTTACTGGGTATCTCGTTACTTCGGAGGAGGTCTTGTAATGCTGTCTGCATCTTGATAGCTTCATTATTACCACTCTTCTCAACCTTAGAGAGAAGATACATTTAAGAACAATTATTACTAATATTTTAAAAGCTAGGTTGTTATTTATTATGAATATTTTCAAAAATTATCTGTCTTTTATTTTACTTGTTTTCCAATGTCTTCAAGTTGTATTTGCATCTCGAGCTGGTTCTCAAATCGCTGGAGCATAGACTGGCCACACCCCTTTAAATAGGCCTCGAGGAGCACACCAAAACGAGGAGTGAAGAGCGGATTGTACATTTCACATTTTAAGTACCTAACAAAAAAAAATCAAGTCGGAATCAACTCAAACTTTCTACATAGTATAGGAACATCAATATCCATTAGAAAATGTAATAAAAATTTGGGGTGATTTCAGAGCCATTTTTTGGAAAAAACCATGGGCTATATAGCCTTGGGTATTTTTCAAAAATTGGCTCATTTTTAAAAATGGCCATAACTCGAAAATTTCTTATCGGAATCGACTCAAACTTTCTACATAGCATAAGGACATCAATATGTATCAGAAAATGTAATAAAAATTTAGAGTGATTTTGGAGCCATTTTTTGGAAAAAATCATGGGCTATATAGCCTTGGGTATTTTTCAAAAATTGGCTCATTTTTAAAAATGGCCATAACTCGAAAATTTCTTATCGGAATCGACTCAAACTTTCTACATAGCATAAGGACATCAATATGTATCATAAAATGTAATAAAAATTTGGGGTGTTTTCGGAGCCATTTTTTTGGAAAAAAACATGGGCTATAGCATTGGGTATTTTTCAAAAATTGGCCATAACTCGAAATTTTTTTATTGGAATCGACTCAAACTTTCTACATAGCATAAGGACATCAATATCCATCAGAAAATGTAATAAAAATTTGGGGTGATTTCGGAGCCATTTTTCAGAAAAAACCATGGGCTATAGCCTTGGGTATTTTTCAAAAATTGGCCATTTTAAAAAAATAGTCATAAATCAAAAATTTTTTATCGAAATCGACTCAAACTTTCTACATAGCATAAGGACATCAATGTGTATCAAAAAATGTAATAAAAATTTGGGGTGATTTCGGAGCCATTTTTCAGAAAAAACCATGGGCTATAGCCTTAGGTATTTTTCAAAAATTGGCCATTTTAAAAAAATGGTCATAAATCAAAAATTTTTTATCGAAATCGACTCAAACTTTCTACATAACATAAGGACATCAATATGTATCAGAAAATGTAATAAAAATTTGGGGTAATTTCGGAGCCATTTTTCAGAAAAAAACCATGGGCTATATAGCCTTGGGTATTTTTCAAAAATTGGCCCATTTTAAAAAATGGCTATAATTTGAAAATTTATTATCGGAATCAGCTCAAACATTTTACACAGAATAAGGACATCAATAAGTATCAGAAAATGTAATAAAAATTTGGGGTGATTTTGGAGTAATTTTTTGAAAAAAAACCATAGAAAAGCCTTTGCTTTTTTAAGTATTTTAAAAATAGCCATAACTTTAAATTATTTGTCAGAAACAGCTCAAACTTTCTACACAGCATAAGAATATCAGAAAATGTGATACAGATTGGTTTGATTCAAAGCCATTTCTATAGTCTAACTGATTTCATACCAAAAGAAAAAGTGTCCAATTCGTTTGTTAGTGAGCGCTCTCTTCAAGAGAAGCCTAGCCAGAGCACTATCATGACAAGGCTCAAACTTGAGTGCCTGAGAAAGAAACAAATAATAGTCACTATAATAATTATAATCATCATTTAATATACTTACTTGTGTCAATTGCAATAAGAAGTTCTCCAACTGCTCATTGGGTAGTGTTTCTAGAACATGAACAGCAAAACTCCGAACCTTCTCATCAGCAAATTCACCATCGAGCAACTTAAGAGCAGTCTACAACAACATTAATAATAACACACAAAAAAACATAGTTAGCCCACAAGTGGGATTTCAAGGTACATTGTAACTACATACTCATGCTAACCACAGTGTGGCCAACAAAAGTAAACAGACATACATGAAAATGGCTACGTGCACACTATATTATAACTTACCTCTACAGGTAGTGTTTGAACAGCTTCCACCTGTTGCAGTAGTGAGTACACCTCTATAACTTGAGTCAGTCTCGTCCAATTAATACGAGCAATGTAACTAGGAAATGCCTTGAGGAAGGAGAGGAGTGGTAGTATTATTTTTAAAATGATACAGAACTACGTACAGACATGGGTAACTGTCCATTTGCCAAACAGCTCAGCAACTTTTCAAACTGTTTCCGAATAACGTGAGAATCCTTCTCTTGACTATTATAAAGAAAAACATGTAATATTGATGGCCCTAACATGTAATATTGATGGCCCTACACTTTCAAGAATCAACCCCAAAAATCAATGCTATATATACAAAATAATAATTATTATTGAAGATTTTTGCAAATCTTTAAAAGTTTTGCAGATTTTTTTTCGCAAATCCTTAAGGACTTAATTTGGCCACAAAAATATCTTGCCATAATTTCTTTTCTTTCCCTCTCTCCTCCTCCCCCTAACCTGAGTAAAAATGAACAGGTCTCAGGTGCACTTAGAGGAAAGAAGACAGGATAAGTGTAACGAGGGAACTGTATTGTGACCCGTACAGCCATTGGATCAGGATTACTGTTACAAGGGGAGCAAGGATTAGCCTGGAAAATGTTCAGCTCTCCTTGACCCAGTTTCACTGACGACGGTCCCTTCCATAGCATCATAGTATAGGGACCACTCTGTAGTATACCTCTATTGATAGGAGAATAATGTAGGCGTGACAGTGGGTGTGGTTTGCTTACCTGTGATCAAAGACTGGTACAAGCCCCCAGTACAGGATACTGTTGGTGGATTTGCTTCTGTCTTTTTTAGAGTCTTCATGTATGCAGACCATTATCTTGGCAGCCTTTATAACAGCAAAAAATAATAAAATAAACAACAACAATAACAAGAACAATAATGGATACAAAAATAATAAAACACATGTAAAAAATAGCAATGATATAATAACAATAACAAAACAATGTAACATTCATCATACTTTAGGTAAGTCCCTGGTCACTACTCCAAACATGAAGGTCTCGTTAATGTCCATCTTTCCCTCGTTATTGAGTGGGCGTGGCCCCGTCTGCTGCCTCTCGCTCAGAACCTGCTTCGAGTGATAGAGTGTTGCCGTGACGATGAGCTGCATCTTTTTACTCTCCTTGGATGAGGGGACAGGAAGGCTCTCAACAAAAGGTACCACAAGACTAAAATAACACACAGTGAATATTTTAAGTTGATGAAGATAATTAAGGATCTTTCAGGGACTTACGCAAACTCGTCTGTCTGGTCCCAAACTGAAGCGGCGAATGTCTCGTAAGATGATTCACTTTTCTGTGACCGACTGATGTCAGTGTGTAATGGAGGCTCCCCACTGTGGGGATCTATTGGCAACCACTAGTAGTGATAATAATAATAATAATTAATAAATAAATTAATAATAATAATAATAATAATAATAATAATAATAATAGACTGATTCCTGTGCTTCTAGGTTCATTCCCATACCACCAAACTCAATCCCAAACTACTACATGTATCGGACTCATTCCCATACTCCTATAATGAGGAGTGGGCGTTAATGCACGTACGTTTAATGTGCAGGTTTTATCCTCGTCTGCTGTTGGTTTCTTAGTCACTGAAATATGAATCTGCTCTGATTTTAATATAGACCTAGAGAGAGAGAAAGAAAAGAAGAGAGAGAAAGAGAGGCTTCAAAACTCAAACCTATTTCTTCTCACTCTCTCACTTTCTAATGTCTTTAAAAGCAATGAGTTCGTTGTTACCATCAAGATAGCTCATTTCACCAGTTATCTGCAACGTGTACTTCTCAATACTACAAATACCAACAATAACAAAATACTCATCATTACTGCCACCTGGACATATTTAAACAATTAACATATATATACACACACACATGTACAATAACTCACTCATTTTCTACTAGACCACATGCCACTATACAAGGGAATATGTTCTTCAGTGTTGTGTTAACATATTCATTAACTGTACAGAGAAGGAGAGAGGAGTCATTTCATCATTAATTGATTTATTGTCTTTTTTAGACAAACCGTTTATTCTCCTGGTCAGTGAAAAAACGTTTTTAAAATGAAAAGTAACTTCTACTTTATTATCGATTGGTATCTAAAATAAAAAAAAAAAACAATTGCAGGCAAATATTCACACTGATCAACAACAAAATTTTAATAGGTGGTTCAGGATAATTTTCAAGTTCACCCATAAAAATGAATTAAAGGTTCACATCAAAATTGTACCTGAAGTGCCAGTAGAGTTGATGTTCCATCAGTTTCTAGCTCCATTGATAAAGCATAGCTTTCATCATCTCTCTCTCTTACCACCTTATCAACAAAACTATGGGTGCATGTACATCATGAAAGATAGAGGAGAGAGAGAGAGAGAGAGGGGGGGGGGAGTGAGAATATAAAGTGAAGTGCTTCTTGTTCTCCTCCCCTCTCTCTCTCTCTTACCTGTGTAGTGTCCTTCTGGCCCATTCCACTTCAATCCTATCATTCTTTGCAATGTGGGCAAACTGAGACAGATCGAGGTTCTTTCCCCCACCAACCCCTTGTATCGAGTAAGTAACATCTTCATCAAGAAGGACTCCACTTAGTTTACTTATACGTAAAAGAGTTGGTATCTCCTACAATGTACCATACATAATTACTGAAAATGCAACACGAAATACGAGTTATATGAAGTCTAGTGTGTCTGGAGGTGAGTATCAGTAATGTGATACCTGAGTCCCTTGATATCTGCCCTCAGCTTCACCTCAAGCAGATATCTCAGTCCCCAGGTATTCCAATTATAAATGTGTTCTTATTCTTACCCAGCTGGTTTCTTTCAAATCAAGGCAGATCGGTATAGCTGCAGTATCACCAGCTTCTTTCCAATGCTCATACAGCAATGTCTTAAAACTAAAAGTAACAGTAGAAGAACGTTAAGGGGAAAACAATACAGATAAACTTGAAAATGAATATTTATCACTTTCTAATAACAATAAGATATAAATCTCCCTTAATTATTAGCTCTCTCTTTCCTGATTGAAAACTAATCAATAAATGCCATTCTTACGACCGGAGAGTAATTAGTAAGAATAACACCTACACTGTATAGCCATATACACTAATATCACAGTTAATATAATAAATGACTGCCACAAAGTCTACCTCCTTTCTATCATAACAGCAATTGACACCAACACACACACACAGTCACACCTAACATATCATGTGCACTTATAGTGAAATGAATTAAGTCCATTTTAATGTACACTAAAAGCAGTCTTTATGCATTTACTAAAAAAGCTAAATATATATAGCCCATACAGTAAGTCAAGAGCCCTGATATACTAGTAATATTACTCATACTCTCATTATAGCTATTATTACAGTTATTACATTATCAAGGTCTATCTACACTATGCGTGACATTAATGTACGTTATGTACATGTACATGTATATTTTATGTATATCATAAGTTAGTATAAGGATACATCAACTGCCTCTCATTGTATAGCTCATAGAGAGTATTGTTGACTGAGTAGGTGAGAGTAAATGAATCTGATCTGGTGCTTGCAGGAAAGGTGAATACAATACTCTTGCGTCTAGAGAGAGAGAGAGGGAGAGGAGAGAGGGAGGAAGGGAGGGAGGGGGAGAGAGAGTAGTGATTCAATTAGACTAATACATTTATACAGAGTAAACACTGTTACCTCATTTCTTTATGTATAACTTCTTTGAGCACACCAATAGTATCGAATTCTAAAAATGAATTAATTTAAAATTGAATTTATAACTTCATAAATTCTAAAGCCTTACCTCTGCATTTAACTTTAAAGGGAGCGAAATCTTCCGATTGTACAGTAACCTCATGCACCTACACACACAGTATTACAACGTTTATGTTATTACACAGTATCGTAATGAGTTAATGAGATCATATTGAGTGAGTAAATTCAAAGCCAGTTACATCAGAGCCAGGTATTATAGTAATTTATAATGAGAGCATTAACATGTGCACTTTTATTCATTTTATATGATATATTGTGATAAAGTTCCTCCCTTTACTAGTGCTGTACATGTACATGTATATTCCGACGTCACTCTTACTTCAAAAGAAGCATATGAAAGACTCGGCATACTCTCCTTCCTCTTTTGCGGTGATTTCACACGTCTTGTCGTACGAACTGCTTTATGCTGACGACTCTTCCAATCAAACTCCTTCTGTTCCGGCCCGGATATATCCATCGTGCTCTCCTCACTCACAGAAGTGGCCGACCGACCAAATATCATAGTCTTTCTCTTCACTTTATCGGCAGTGTCTCGTGACATCTTTCGCTTGGGGCCCTCCATTGCCTCCGTCCGTGGGCGGGGAGGGGATTCATCAAAAACAGAACTCTCGTCTCCCTCACCAGGTTTCACCTGCAGCTCGACTGATGTGTTCATCCGGTCCAATGGTTTAAAGCCGGCACTAGGAGTGTCCTTCATTGACACAGAGCGATATGATTTAAAAAGGCCAAACTTTCGTCTTTGTGGGCTGGCCATTCCGATACTGCTAGAGGATGAGGAGGATGAGGATGGGGTACGATTGTTTAAAGACACAGACATCATATTGTCACTTAGTCCTTCTTCGACCTCTGCCTCTTCAAGAGGGTTATCCCAGGTGAAGGGGAGAGGGGAGGGGTCAGGTATGCTTCCTATCATACCACGGAGAAAGTTACTGAGAGTCCGGCTCACTTTCTGCGGCTCCATTGGATCGGGTGAAAGTGGAGGAGATGTAGTCGGTGTAGTATGACTACAATAATAATAATAATATTATTATTATTATTATTACAACTAGGAAAGATCATTCTTATTATTATCATTAGCATTATTATTACAAGTAGATTAGTATAGGTTATACACCGTTAATACTATCATTATTTTGATGCATGTACATGTACATGTACAAGAAGTAAAATAAATGTTTGGATGATGTAGGCATTATGTGCTCTTAATGTAGGTAAGTGTCCTTAAACCATAAATAATATTTATATAGCTCATTTGTTTATTTACTTAAGAGACTGTGAAAAACAGCTTTTGTCTGTGTACTTACTATTAGCATTAAGAAGGAAAGACAATATTGATATTAAGAAAGACAAAGAGGGGGAGGGAGGGAGGGACATTGATTGTACATGTGTTACATAGTATATGGGGAGAAGTAGAAATGGAATTAACGTACTCTCTTAGGACAATTAGTGTTGGTATTTCACTCTGCCTTAGAGCATCAGAGATATAAGGAATGTCACTTGGAGCAGATTGTAGATCAATATACTCACCCTACAATAAATAACATGGAGTCATGATAAGAGTGAGTGGGAAGCTCCAATGGCTTACACAGATATTTCCAGAGAGACACTTTATACTGTTAGGATCAACACCAGGCCACTGGAAGAGAAAGAGAGAGAGAGAGAGAGAGAGGAATAGAAGTGATTTACAATGTAAACTGGCCAGCTCAAAACAAGCCAAGCATGTTAAATAGAGTTGCAATGTAGGCCATTAAAAAACATTCTTAAAATATCATCACATCTTAGACATACAATCACCAAATAACTTGCACAAGTTTTTATGCTTACAAAATACCTGCTCCCCTGTGCTAAATTTATACAAAGTGTCCTTACTTCTTTAAGGAGGAAACTAGTGATTATAGTTTGTAGAGTGCTGTCTCCAGTATCTGCAGTGTCCAAGCAGTAAGAGGAGCGTCTGCCAAGACTTCCTTCCTTCTTCTCGTAGAGCTCAAGATTAATAAAGTACCTTGACGTGTGCAGATGACGTGTATAATAAACAAAACGATAGCATTTTGAAAGTAAAGGGAAAAACAAGCAGAGAGAGAGAGGGGGGTTCTGCTTACTGTTTTGAATTCTTAGCCTCAGCCATTTTAGCAAGCAAGAAGCAAAAGCAGGAACTGCTAATCTTTGGAATATAATATCAACAGCAAAGCCTCCTTCTCTTTAAAGCAAGAAAAAAATTGCAGGACCTTACTCCATTCCTTAAAATTATTATAATACACTTAGACCAACAATCCACTCCCACATTCCTCCACCAACCACAACTAAGTACATGCCAACTTTACTTTTACTATACACAATACTTTGAAATTGTTATTTTATTGAGTGCAAACGTGAGTGATGACATAAATGAGTGAGTCAGTTCAAAGAATTAACATACAATACATGTACTATAAGTACATACATGTACATACACGTGCATTATCTTTCTTTTTGTTAAAGTAACAAAAAGTTGTACATTAACGAAGGAATTGTTTAGTGTTTCTGTAACATTAGTATAAAAAAACACAAAATATTCTACACGAAAAACAATAGATAAGGGAGAGAGAGAGGGAAAAGAAAAAAAGAAGATAAGAATGTAATGCACTTGAGTATTGATTATACCTGCTATTTTCATCTTTGTAATTCTAAAAGGAATACAAACACAAAATATTAAACACATTGCAAGAGATGGGAAAAAGAGAGCTAACAAAAAATTAACAACACAACGCCCACTAAAGAAACGAGAAATTCCAAACCGTAAAATCAGCACGTTTGTTGCAATTCATTTCAAGGCAACATGCATATACAGGTTTCAGAAAATTACCTAAAGAAACACTCACACCCAGTGCATTGTGTACATAGCTAAGACACGGCTAAGAGACATCAATGGCTTCTTCTTTTGTGCTGTAAACAATGTTACCCTCCTTTATAACATGTTGAATGCAATCCCGATGACAACCAAACTGGTATATGATATTCTCCCACCTTTAGAGATTCAGATATAAAGGAGAGAGGAGAAAGAGAGAGGGAAAGAGAAAAATCACATATACATGCTTTATCCTTAGCCCAGTGTGTGCATGTATCCATTTTAAATTACTTGGGAGCAGAGAGTATCACTAAATCGGCTTTTTTTCCAACTTCAATAGAACCACATACATCAGAGAGGCCAAGAGCAGCAGCTGCATTGATGGTAGCAGCAACCAGTGACTCCTCCATTGAGAGACGAAGATTAACACAAGCTAAATGCATCACTAATGGCTAATGGAGAGAAAGTAAGATTACGAGAGAAAGTAAAATTAGGAGAGAGGGAGTGATGGTGTACCATTGAATAACAGTAAGCGTTGGGATTGAAATCACTACCAAGTGCTATAGCCATGCCTAATAACACACACACAAAATAACAAAATAAAACATTCATAAAATACATGTAGAGTGCATGTACATGTACATGCATGTACACATTCTCTCTCCTATAATAATAATGAAAAAGATTTATTGCCTTTTTCAATCATCTTCCTAGCAGGAGGCTGCCTCAGTCGTAACATGTAAGCAGTAGTGGGTAGAAGGACACCGATGGAGCCACACTGGGACATAGCAGCAATCCCAGCATCACTGATCTCCTCAAGGTGACTCACAGCAGCTGCTTCTAACTCTCCAGCCAACTGAATAGAGAAAAGAAAGAAGGAGAGATAAAGAGAGAGAGAGAGAGGGGGGGGGTAAAAAATAGAGAAATAATTTGATTCACAAACCTCTCCAGATCCCATTGGGTGAAGTTCGTCGCCGTGGAAATTTATCCTCCATCCCTCTCTCTTTCCGGCTGCTAGTATCCTTCGAGACTGCTCCAGATCAAAGACACCTTTCTCACAAAATACGTCAATGTTGTCAACGTGGATTTGACCTTTTGATGAAAGGTCACTGATAGTCGGGATCTGTTCCTCAATAATGGATAGTGTTGCTTCGTCAGAAGATAATCCTCTAAAAATAGAAATAGATTTTAGAGAGAGAGAGGAGAGGGAGAATCCTTGCAGTTTGAAAATACTTGCACAGTTTGAATTCACAAAATGCCACAAATTAGTTTAATAAACAAAAAATTATAAGATTACAGAACATGGGCTCCACTGCTACACGCTAATAATTGCACATGTTGCATCATAACATGCAATTATTTCACCAATGTTACTAAAATCCAATACAATAACAAACACTGGTGCTTCACCTAATGCATAACTATAATGACACAACTCCTCTCCCAAAACTATTATTATTGATTTTTAGCACATCTTCCAATAACAACACGTCATGCACATAAAACTATACTGATATAATGGGTAGTAGTAAAAGTAGAAACGAAACGAAACCAGAAACGGAAAGAAACCAGAACAGAAACAAAAACTAGAGGACTCCTAACATAAGTAAGGAGCTCCTAGCATGACTAGGAGACTTCTAACAAAAATTAAAATTACATTGGGAGATTGTTTCTTTCCGTTTCTGGTTTCGTTTTGTTTCTACTTTTACTAATACCCCTGATATAATATACTTACCTATACATACAGTGTATGCATAATGTCTACCAACTCTCTCCTCCTCCTCTCTCTTTCTCTCTTACCTAGGTACTGCATGTGCTCCACAGTAAGTTATAGAAAGATCCATTGGATGCTCTTGACGGGCATTATTTAGAACTTCAAGCATCTTCACTTCAGACTCGGTCTCCAGCCCATAGCCTGATTTAGCTTCAACTGTAGTCGTACCACATCTCATCATTGACCAGAGTCTTTGGACTAACGGGTCATAGAGTTCCTTGTGTGTAGCACTACGTACGCACTGTACAGTGAAGTTGATTCCACCACCTGATTTATGTATATCCATGTATGTGGCACCAGCTAACTGGAGAGAGGGGGGAATGATAAAAATTATTTAAAAATAAATTAATTTATAATGATAAAAGTAATAAGGAATTAAAATGTAATAATTTAAAGAGGAAGAATAAAGTATGTATCATTATTACTTTCATAGCAAATTCATTCACTCTGTCCCCAACCCACACTGGGTGCGTGTGGGCGTCCACAAAACCAGGCAACACAGAGGATCCATTAGCCAAGACTGTCTCTTTGAATGACCAGTCAGAGTATTTAGCATCCAAAACATCATCAAAACTAATAAAAATACATTATACATTATAATAAACTAATTTTAGCATTTTTGGTGTATCGTTGTCTCTACTAATTTTAATTAGTAATTCAAGACGTTTCACTAAAATTAGTACAAATAATTATTATAATTGGTCGTAATTAGTCAAAGCATAGGTCAAAGACACACCCCAAATCTGCAATCAGTCCGTTCCCGTCCACAACCAGCCCAACTCCTCTTCCATTCTCTCCCTGTATCACTGCTATATCCTTCATGGAGGCTCCACGAAGGACCTTCTCTCCTTCTCTGCACACTTGAACCACTTGAGAAGCTCCTCTCACTCGTAGAAGACCAGCCATCTTTAATGCTCCAAAGGAAACGTGTTTGCACGTGGGCGACTCTTGCAAAGTCCATGCATCACGTGATAGATCTACCGCACCTCGGCCCCCCGAAGTTTAAATTTTCTGGCAGACCAGAACCCGTACAAACCACGCCTTCTCTCCACCTACTTTTGTTTCCATGGTGATATTGCCAGGTAACAAAATTTAATGTTCACAAGATGGCCGCTGTATCTCTTCTTTCTAAAACGCCACCAAAGGAGAAGACAGTACCATCCCTGCCACCAATAATCAACAATAAAGGTAAGGAAATACACCAACTAGCTCTGACTGCTCTCATAGGCAGGAAAGTATCCGCAGATAGCGCCAAAAGTGATGGAAAGAATCCTTTTACTATGCCACCAGACTATGAGTTGTTCACACTGAGAGAAAGGGAGAGAAATCTTCAAAGAGAAGTACAACTCTCACTCTTATACAGCCCATATTATATAATTATAGGAGAGAGCAATAGAGAGGAAGCTTCCAGTCCATGAGAAGCCAACTTATGCCAGTCGCATGAATAAGAAACTTGCTGCAGTTCGACAGGCAGCCATGACTCCTGAAAGCTCCAGTACTGATATTAAAGGGTTTGATCAAGCTTCCCGTATACATGAGAACACACAGTTTGTCCTGGCAACAACAAGAGGTGAGCATTATAATAGATTATTATAGGTGTGAAGTAGCACCTACTACATGTAATCCAATTGTGTAATGTATGTATGTTATAGAGCGACGGGTTGAGAAAGAAGACCTCAACAACTACTTGAATAAAAAGAGAGAGATGTTTCTGATGCAGGTATAAATGTAACTATGCATGATAGCATTGTATTCACACATTCATCCCATGATAGTACTCATTAGGAGTCAAAAGAGATGAAATACAAAAACTCGAAGACATTGCTAAGGTAATATTATGTTTAATTTAAATGTTAAGTTAAGTGTTTAAATGTTTTTTAAGTTAAATGTTTGCTGTAGTTCTTTGTCCTTTTGTGATGTCAATTATTATTTTTAGACTGAAGAGAGGAAGATTGAAGCAGCAGAGCAGTACCTAGAACAGAGTGCCGCAATGTTTGATGAATTCTTAAAAGAGAATGACAAAAATTCTGTAGAGGCAATCAAAATGTATCCTTAATACTTTATATAATTTATATTTATAATTTATTATTTTTATTTTTCATTTCATAGGGCTGAGGCTGCAACGAAAGCTAAACTCGAGAAAGTGGCAGAGATTAAGCGACTGAACTCACAAGTGATGGCAATCAAAAGGTAATAGAGAAAATACTCAGTGACTAAATTCAAAAATGTACATTTACAATCAAAACATTATGATTCCCTCTGTTACATGTGTTGTATAGAAAATTTGAGCAGATTTTAATGAAATTTGAATTTTAAAGTTGCTAAAAATTGGGAATAGTAATTTAGTCGAATTTTGTCAAAAATGACTAGGAGAGAATTTTTCATTTTTATAATTTTTTGATACCTATACATGTACTTATTTTGTATAGAAAGTTCGAGTGGATTCTGATCAAATTTAAATTTTTTAAATAAATTTTTAAAGTTTCCCCAAGTGCTATGCATTGTGTTGTTACAGTACTGTTTAACTGACTTAGCACTGACCGTGTAATTTCATTATCTAGTGAGATATCAAGGAATGATGATCATTTGAATGAACTCAAGACTTATAGACAATTCTTAAATGAATTAGCCCCTCAGGTATCTGCATCTTAGTAGATTAACATTTGTATTGAGTCACTGCCATAATTATAGGAATGGCATGAAGTTAGGAAACGAAGATTGGAAGAAATGAAAAGGGCAAGTGATGCTACAGAAAATGAGACACTTGATGAAGAGGTACATGAAAATACATGTACATGTACATGTACATTTACACACGAATTTTATTAATATTGTACTGTGAGTTTGTTTTTATGTGTTCACAATGCATTTCCCAAAAAACCAGTTTATTTATTTTGTCTACATAATATGTTTTCATTTATAATAATAGGTATACTTTGACAATCCTGCACAACTATTGGAAATCTTTACAGAATTAGAAGAGCAGAATCTCTCGCTTATTCAGAACAGCCAAGAAACAGAGGAGACGCTGGATGAGATAAAACACTCACGTAGATCAACGCAAGATAGAATGTAATGAGAGAAGACACTTCATGAATTAATCTTTACATGTACTTGTCAGGAATTATGAAGTTCAAGTATTAAGATTCCAAATCTCTGAGTTGGAAAAGATGATTGAAAAAGAAGAAGCGAAATCGCTTGAGCTGGAAACAAAAGCAAAGTGACTTAAGCTCAATATATTCCTATAATAATTTTATTATTTTTATTAATCTTTCAAGATTATTTTCATTTGGAGAGTACAAGGCTGAGGATCAGGAAGCAATGCTGTCAACTTTGGACAAGAAAGTGGCAGATGTTTACAATAAATGCATAGGAGGGAATGAAGCTGCAGTAAGGTTAGCTCTTTTGTAATAATACACATACATGTACATGGAAATGTATACTATACATGTATACTTGTAGTACTCTCCAAATGCTTACTGCTATTGAGGGTCGTATGGAAGAACTCTTTGAAGAGCTGGAGACCCTCCCCGTCGAAAAAGTCGAGAGTGCAGAGAAAGTAAGAATATTGCAGTTGAACTTGCATAATAATTGATTTGTTGTTAAAGGCTAAAGAGAAGGAGAGGCGATTGAGGATGAGGGAACAGAAATTACAAGAGCAAAGGCTGCACCAAGAAGAGAGATTGAAGAGAGCTTTAGAAAGAGCTCAAGCTGACCCTAAAAGAACCGTAAGTTTTAGAATTAACTAAATTTTTTAAAATAGAGATGTTCTTCTTTCGTTAGACTGGAAGGAGACTGGTATATCGTTCAGAGCCGCCTGTACTGAAGCATCAGCAGAAACACATTGATGACCAGAGAGAGAAAGAAGAAGAGGAAATGCAATATTTCTTCACTTAGGAGTCTAAATATTTTAACTCAATTAATTTGTGTATAAAATAGAATTATAAATTTAATAGTAATTACAATTACTCCCTTCAAACTTACTATACAATGGACATAAATTTGATTAGAGCCATTGAAGCTGATGCAATACTGCAGAACTGACAAATGCGGCAACCATGCGGATACGGAGGGTGTGTATTCATGCTGATCATGTGACCTGGTAGCGGTCACGAGGCTTTTTTGATAAGGAGTGAGCTTCTGATCTGACATTCTCTGCTGATACCTGCTTTTCTCTCCCTCCCTCTTCCTTTTGTCAGGAACGCTAGCACTCCTCCAGCGGCAAAACTCATCACAGCAGCTATTAGGAGACAGGAGATACAGAGAACAACATGTCTGCCAGAAGAAAAGTCCTTTTGAAAGTGATCATACTAGGGGATAGCGGGTAAGTTAGTAAGGTCATGGCATTAGGCGAGGTTATCTCGTCCAGTAGTTGGTGTAGATTTGTTTTACTGGGTGGGGACTGTTTCTTTGCTTTATAAAGCTATTATTGAACAATTGGAGCTAATAATAGTAATTAATTATCGTATTATATACATGTATATATATCAATTCACAGTAACTGTTGTTGACTTTAAAAGGAAGAATGTCAGTTATATAATTTATTTAATAAAGATGATCAATAATTGTTGGTAATCCTAAATCTCTTTACGAATTGGTAATGGCTGTTTTCTCCAACCATGCCATATAATGATTAGCTAACTCTGGTCTTTTTCATTTGTTTATGCGTTAATGTGTGCATGTTTTACATTCCCTTTCAAACCTAACAATTTTAAAGTTTCAAAAACTTAAGAGAGGGTGTGCTTCTAGGCCAATTCCACCCCTTATTATCAGAGGCCAACCCTCATGAATTATTCATAATATCAATGTCATTGTTACATTAATACTAATAATGATATACTGATAACAATTGTACTCATAGTTTTACTCCCCTGTGTTTTCAATATGCTCTCTCTCTCTCTCTCTCTCTGTCCTTCTCACTCTCTCTTTGTCTTCCCTAGGGCTTTCTCTTTCTCTGATCTCTCTCTCTTTTTTTCTTTCCCCTTCCTCTCTCTCTCTCTGTGTTGATGTATTATGTTTTTATGTTGATATTTTGTCTTATAAAATACATTTCATTGTTTTTATTAAGTTATCCTGCTTGTATCTGTATATACTGTGAATCCTTTTGTGTATTATACATACATGTATGTTCACAGAGACACACCCCTCTCCTTACTTTAGAATTAATTTAATAATTTTATGTTTCCTTTTTCTTTCTCTCTCTCTCTCTCTCAGTGTTGGTAAAACATCACTAATGAATCAGTATGTCAACAAAAAGTTCACCTCACAATACAAAGCCACCATCGGAGCTGATTTCCTAACCAAAGAAGTCATGGTCGATGATCGTTTAGTAACTATGCAGGTATTGCCCCTCCCCCTTTTCTCTTTAACCCGCCCCCTCTCTTAGATATGGGACACAGCCGGTCAGGAGAGATTCCAGAGTTTGGGCGTGGCTTTCTACCGAGGGGCTGATTGTTGTGTTTTAGTATACGATGTGACTAATGCCAATACTTTCAAGACGCTGGACAGCTGGAGAGATGAGTTCCTGATACAGGCCAGCCCTAGAGACCCAGAGAACTTCCCTTTTGTCGTTATTGGCAACAAGATTGATCTAGAGAACAGACAGGTAGGACACACACGGGGGAAATATATTTAAAAGCATGTGAATAATAGTATATATATTTAAAAGCATGTGGTAACAAGTCTGCCTGCCACAGTCTCACATGTACTATAAAGCATACCACATCATCCTAATCATATGTACACACTGATCTACTAATGTACACTAAGTGTATGCCACTACTGCCCTTTGGAGATCCTAATCATTTTGACCTTTCATGCATCATTTTTAATGTTTGACCTTTCACTGTCGTTTGACCTTTATCAAGGTACCCGCAAGACGAGCGCAGAACTGGTGTGAGTCAAAGAATAACATCCCCTACTATGAGACAAGTGCCAAAGAGGCCGTGAATGTTGACCAGGCTTTCCAGAAGATCGCCCGTGACGCTCTAGCAAAAGAAAATGATGACATTTACAAGCCTCAAGTTGCATCAGTCCCTGATATAAGGCTTGACTCCAATACTAAGCAGAAGAGTGGGAAGTGTTGCTAGAGAGAGGGACGTGGGAGATTTTTGATTATTATGTTCACATAATTGTCGTGTATTGTGTAATAACTTAAACTTTAAAACACGTACTGGATAGCATTATAAATAAAAATAATAGGGATACATTTTTGTTTGTTCGCTCATCTCATAAAATTAATTATTATTATTGGTATTATTGTACTTGTCTGATATTTTTGTGTCGTTTAATTATTATTATTATGTTGTTCTCTATTTCGTTTGTGAAGCTGTTGAAATATTAAAAAATTTGTCATGAAAATTAAATTTCTCAATTTTTAGAACGTTGCATTTATAAATAAGACCCAAGTGTGTGTATGCGTAATAATCATTGCCAGCCATGTTCCCGGGTATTCTGCCGGGAATAAGGATGATGTCTATGATGAACTGACAATGCGTTGTTGTGGTGGGACGTCACATGATTGTCATGTGTCGGGTGTCGTCTTTGGGCATGTTTAGAGTTCATGTGACCATTGGAGTGAGTCGAGGGAGAGGAAGACGAAGAAGGGGCGGAGACTGTTGCCATGGTTTCTATCGAATGTCTATGCTTGGCGTTAGAAGATTGGTGATGGTTTTCAATTGACGGAGGCTGAGCAGAGGAAGAAGACATCTCTGGCATAGAGTGAGGCGACTATAGTAACAAAGATAGTAACAGAGATAGTGAGGAGAGGAAAGAGAAAATAATTAAGTTTGTCCACATACGTGTGTGAACAATCGAAATAATGTGTGAACAGTATAACCTGTTGTGTCAGCCCTTCTGCTTGAGGCGGTACGTAAGTACTCATATCTGGAGTCTCAGAAAACACCATTGTAAAGCTAGGAGAGAGAGAGAGAGTGTCAAATAAGTTTACAAAAGATACACAATAAAATAAATAAATAAATTGAATAACTTACTCTCCCAGTCTTTCAACTAGTCCATATTTGCCACAGTACAATACAAGGTTTCCTTTCCATAGTGACGAGTACCTACATTCATAAAAATCATAAATCATACACAATGCAGTAAGCATGGATTTAAATATTAATATTCCTATACATCGTGTTGGCTTGATTATTAAAATACCATTGTCTATGGTCTTAAATTGACTCAGATATGTATAGTAAAAAGTTTGAGGTGATTCCAAAAAAAATTTTTAATACAAGAACTAATTATTTGTTGTCATTGAAAATGCCTCAACTAAAAATAAAACACACAATATTAGCTGCTTTTAGTTTATAAAACAATACATGTACTATAATTTGTACCATAGCCTAACGACCCATAAACACAAAGACATACTACTGGCCGTCCCACTGCCCGTGCTAATATCCAGTGCTATAGCACCCGTTACTTTCTTGTACCCTTTAGTCAGTCGTATAATGTCACCAGTACTGATTGCCTCTCCTTCCCTATTCCATACTGAGAATATGATACTTCCTGTCTTGTCAGCCACTCTACACTTCCGCACTGTGCTACCGTCTTTCGTTTTTTGCTGCGTACCTGAAACAAACCGATAAATTATTAGTATATATCACCAGTCCAATCTTAGAGGCTTTCTCTCTCTTGCATAATATATTTATTGAGGTTTCTATGTGTAATTATTATACCCACCCCTGTCAATGACTATGAAAATGCAGTGAACGTTTTTCATGCCCGCTCTGAGGTCTTCTATAGGCGTTATTCTATCTTCAGACGCCATTCAAAACTTACAGCGCCCCAAACGAGCGCGCAAAAGCTTTTATAAAAAGACTAGAGAAAGGAGCAGGAATGAGAGAGATGACTTCAACAATGATTAGCTTAACCAGTAGGCGTGGTACTGGGCGGTGCCAAAGGAGATAATTAATTAAGCAATTAATTAATAACTAGATATTTAAAGTTATAAAATAGACTAATACCGTATTTGAAACCTTTCTCCGTAAATTTCGTTTAAATAGAAAGTAATATAAAACTAGCGCGTGTACAGCGAGTTAGAGGTGTAGAGAGAACTCTTAGCCTCTGTTCGTGGTTCTCTCTCCTTTCATGTCACTGAGATTAGGAGAAAAGAATAATGAAAATAGAGAAAAGCAAGTCCAAGAAAAGTGTCGGAGACCTGGTTAGTGTTTAATTAAAACACACGTAAAGTTTTTGTTCTTTTTTTGTCACTTTAGCCTCTCCTGACACAAGAGCTGATTCAATCTTTACTCCTCTGTTCAGAAGAGGCTCTCCCCTCACTCCTTACCACTATAACAGTTTGGCGTTACGGAAAAGTGAGACGAAAATAATAAATATTTTAATTTGCAGTCTGTACATGCATTGTCATGGGAATAATAATAATAATAATATAATTATAATAATTTTAAAACAAAGGTTATCGGAATACTCTTTTATTAGTGTGAATTGTACCACTGGATAGACGTTCTTGATAAATTTGATGCGATATTGTCAAGAGCAACCGAAGAAGCCGCGTCACGTGACTCCGGGTCACATGACCAGCGATACATTTACATGTGCCCTCTTTTGAAAGAGGAAAAGGTGAGAGAGAGAGGGAGAGAAAGAGCGAGTATTTGCACCATTTTAACTATTACTAAATTGTATGTATGTATGTATGTCGTGTTGATTATTATTATTATCAAATATTGTTCACATCTTGTTACTACTGTACTCATATAAACACATACACTATTATACATAACTATGTACATGTATGTGTTTATACAGTGTATCTGCATACTAGTGTGTATTATCACTTACTCATGCTGCTTCCTTTATATTTTCATACTCAACAAGTACATGTACATATTTAGTATGTAATTTATGCTTTGCTACACTTTAGACCAAGACTTTGGTGATGTCTGTTCTAAACTTCACTTCACTTCTTATTGAACACTCTTATGCTCGCCATATCTACAATTCAACAGAGGTATTTAAAGCACCACGTACTTTCTACATTTGCATGATATTGTATATATCATGCATGCATAATGTACATGTATATTTTCTGTTTTTTAGCATTTGTGTATTTTATTGGCCTGCCCTGATCTCGATATTGTCCTGGCTGTCTTGAATCTTTTCTACGTCTTTGGAAAGAGATCAAATTTCATCTCACGGCTCCCAGCCCACCAGAGGACCAGTCTTAATTCTTATCTTGAATATCTGGGAGAAGTAAGTGTGATCAAGAAATTATATTTTCTCCTCCTATCTATTGCCCTTTTAATTTGACATGTACATGTAGCTGGACTACTAAGCAGCTTGACAGTAGTTCCATAGTCCAATACTTGCTCCATGTACATGTACATACATGTATATTAATTCTCTGTCCTTATTAATTTGTTCTTTTTTTTCTCTTTCTCTCTCCTCCTCTCTCTTCCTCAGACTTGGGGTGGTAAGCAGAACGGGTTTGGTTTAGCTCAGTGCTGTCAGAATCTTGACATGAGTGAGTTCCCGTCGACTGCAACTTCAGTTTATTTTGAATACCAACCAACTACCAGCAACGTAAGTCACAGTACTTACATGTATACACACATGTACATGTACTGTACATTCGTAGACTCCGTGTAGTTATATTATATACATGCATTTATCTGCATCTTAGTGTATGTTTTTATTTTTTTGCATGATTACTTCTTTAAAAAAATAACAATTTACTAATAACAGTACAGTAGTTGTGATGACGATAATATATGTATACATGCATACATGTACTTTATACTGGTCCATTATTAGTCGTTTTATCTACTTGTTTCTTTCTTTTAGTCTGAAGCAGGTAGTAATGAATCTCATACAGTAACCACCAGGTCCATTGCTGTCACTTCTGTTGATAAAGTAATAGCTATCGTCATATCTCTCTCGTCTCTATTCTTATACATGTACATGTACATTGTAGCACAAAAATTTCGAGGACTATACATGTACTGTACATGTATATTTTGCATGAATATTTTGTTGATTGTAGGTGTACATGTGTGAATCAATTTTTGTAAATTTTCACCAGCTTTCATCTTATGATTAATATTATTTTTTTGTGAATCTTCAAAGAATTTTAAATCTGTGAAATTTAGAGCCCTTTACATGTAGAGTTGACGCACAGTAGGTCTTTATGCATTAATGGACATGTGTACATTTTCCTTTTTGTTTTGTCTGTGTCTATCTCTTTAGTATGAAGAGGATATTTCTGATATTATTGTTAAATTGTTGGAGTCTCATTCGGTTCCTCTGGTCCAGCAGATGAGGTTTCTCACACGGCTCAGACTCGCTAAGAGTTTTTGTCACTTTGAGTATCGGGTCAAGTGTGTCTTAGTAAGACTCCAGGCAATATCTGTATTAGGTAAGTATCTTAACTCCACCTTTAATGTACAAATGTAAATGTAGTGTGTGTTTATATAGGCGGTAGCCTGTATGTAGGATTGAGGTTGGTTTTTCAAGCTGGTGGCCATTTTTATGATTTTTCTTATTGTAATTATAGTGATATTATAATTGTTCATATTTTCATTAATTATAGTGAATCAATAATGTAATCATAGTTTACTAAAATTAATAATGTAATGCTAAAATTGAATGCAGTAGAACCAAGCCCCCAATACATGAAAGCCTATGAAAATGTTGTTTTGTGCAGACTTGTAACTGAAGTTTAAATTTTATCCTCTTCTCTCTCTCCCCCCCCCCCTTCTCTCTCTTTCTCTCTTCTGTCAGTATATTCAATGGCTCCTGCTGAAGTAGTTGATCCACTTATTTATGATGGACTAGTGGAGGAGTTGATTGAAGTATTGGAAGTTAAGAATCCATTACTACAGGTAAGGGAGAGCCAGGGAAGCAACTGAACAAATCTATAATATTTACTTTTGATATGATATGTGCTCTTGTATTTTCACACAGCACGAGATCAAAGCAGCTGTATTAAGGACACTTACCGCCATTATTCATCTTGAAAGAGACCCAAGGTAAGTGTATTATTACATGTATGATCATTACTGATTCCCTCTCTCTTTCTCTCAGGCTTGGTGCTATTATAGAAGCAACAGGTGCTTCCACTTATCATGGCTTCCTACCAACTTTAGTACGAGACTGTGTTGCTGCCATCATCAGTGCTGGTAAGGGAGAGAGTACATGTACATGTACATGTATACATGTACATGTATTTTATTTGACAATTGCATACATGTCACTGTTAGATCTAGAGAGAGTGGACTTTTGGTCTACCATATTTTAGCCTAAGTCTCCTGAAATCAGACCTGGGGTCAATTACAAAAGTTCAATTACAATTACGAATTCAATTACACTCCTTTTGCAAGAATAGGCTCAATTACAATTACAATTACACCATGACAGTGTAATTTCAATTACATTTTCAATTACAATTACAATTTGATGTACATGTATTGTAACAACATACTTTGCAGTGCTTACACTATGTGTTAAAAAGAAGTTATTTCGGTACTTTACAGTATCAAAAACACCCAAAGATACCAAAGTACATAAAGAACATTTCTTTGTGCATCTGTACATTCTGTAGTTAGGTAACTCAAATATA